ATAGAGATAAGCTGTTGTGATACCTGAGTAGTAGTTGCTAAATATTGTTTTTTCATGATAAACAAAATGTATTTATAGCGAAATGATGTCTTGAATAAATTTTAGTAAATAAATAAAAGCAGTGAGTTCTAATAATATAACTACCTATTAATCATTTTTAACAGCTGACACCAACATAAAGATAAGCCAAAGGTAACAACATTACGCGAAAAATTATTAAAGATAATGCAATGTGTTTTCAGAATAGTTATATTAAAGGCTAGGCAACATTTAGACCTAAAGCAGTAACATCGCATGACTGTTAAGGTTGATAAATCTTGCTCTACACGTTAGCCAAGTCACTCCACTTTGAAATCATGGAAACAACATTATATAAACATATATACTAATATAAAAAAATTCTCAAAACAAATATATAAAGAATCCAAAATAATGCAAAATAAAATTAATTTGCCATCGTCAAAAGTAATACAGGTTTCTTAAGTTTAATTGATAGAAGTTAAGTAAAACCTGCAACCATATCAGCAAAAACTTATTAAAAAAAGTTAAAATTTATTCTGTTTCTAATAAAGAAAAAAAATTTTAGAAGCAAACAACATATCTTTGCAGACAGCGTCAGAAGGCATGCGTTGGGAGAAAACATTGAACAAAACGGGTAATAAAACTTATTAACGCGTTATGTACAATTGAAAACGGATTATTAAGACAGGTTTATAAATTTTTTTCCCCCAACACACTATTATGCTGCCGCAACTCCAAGCATATACATAGTTATATATATATATATATATATATATATATATATATATATATATATATATATATATATATATATATAGAATTATTTATTAGCGAAAACATATGAAAACCAAAATTTTTTATATAATATATATAGTATATTTGATAAATAAACCTTTAGAATTTCTTTGGTTCAACAACATGATTATGATTTATAAAAGTTCTGTAAATATAAGTTTTCTAATTATCTAAGTCTTTATAAATTAAATATTTTATTATATATCTTAATTATAAATTAAACAAATTAAATTTATCTTAACTATAAATTAAATCTTTATAAATTAGATATAGAAAAACAAACATATAATAACACAATTATATCCTAAACCAAAATTCAATCATGCAAGGCAAATTATTAAATTTTTTGAAAAGAAAAAAAACATTTTTTTTTAAAGAGCCAAAGTATTAACAATACTTTAGATAAATTTTATTTATAACAAAATGCTGTCGTGGCTTTTATCCCAATTATTAAAAGCATTTGAAAGCATGAAACTACCCATATATATCTTTTAATGGTAGACACCATCTAATAATTATAGCCTCTATATTTTTAATATAAACATGTATAACATGAAGCTTTAAATTTAAAAGTACAATTATAATTACAAAGTACAAGTACAAAAGATTGCAATAAACTAATTACTTATAAAATTTTAAAAAGATTTTATATATACTCAATGTCTACTTAGACATTTTGAAAAGATAGCGATTTTGAAAACTTGAAACTTTAAATTTAAATTTTGAAAAACTGAAACTTTAATTCTACCTCAAAGACAACAGATATATATTAAAAAGTATTTTTTTTTTTTTTTTTAATTTAAAAAAGCTTTAACTTACTCCCTCCAATATTATTATATAATATATATAGTATATATGATAAATAAACCTCCACAATTTCCTTGGTTTAACAACTCGATTATGAATAATAACAACTCTGTAAACATGAATTTTTTAATAACCTAAATAAATTATAAACAATTAAACTTAAATAAAAGTGTATGCAAATGATAAATGCTATATTAAATACAGAAAGACAAACATAAAATAACACAATTAAATCCTAATCCAAAATTCATTCATGCAAGACAAACTATTAAATATTTATTGAAGAGCCAGAAATATATTTTTTTTCAAAGAGCAAAAGTAATAACAATACTAAAGATAAATTTTATTTATAACAAAATTTTCAATAAAAATTAAATTAAGATAAATTTATAACAAAATGTTGTCATGCCTTTTATCCCAATAACCAAAACTATGTGAAAGCATGAAACTACCCATAAATATATTTTAACGCTAGACACAATCTAAGAATTAAAGTAATCTATAACACGAAGCTTTAAATTTAAAATTACATTTAAAAAAGGTTACAATAAACTAATTACTTTTAAATTTAAAAAAGATTTTAGATTACCTATAATTTTAAGCTACTAAACATTATCTACTTAATGTCAACTTGCACATTTTGAACTCGTACGATGAAAGGTTGAAAGGAAATCTTTAAGAAACCACGCGGTAAAGAAAAGTCTAGAAACTACTCAAAAAGTGTTTTTTACAGATACAGAACCGTACTGTAACTATAAAACAATACGCGTAACTATGCGCACTATTCATTAGAGTATTAATATTTAGATTAGAGAAAATGTGTTTTGCATTTATTAGATTTATATTTATTTTGAATTTTAGTAAAAGAGAGTAAAAGACAATTAAGTTCTTTATTAGAAGTTAATTTTCATGATGGCACTTTGACGTAAGCTCGATTCGTTTATTAGGCAAATTGTTTGATGATGGAACAATGTTGTATTTTTCTTTCAAGATTAAATTGCAAAATTCACCACCTGGTTTCAATGGCTCCGCTTGATCAAGAATATTACATTTTAGTATAGATTTTAAAGCTTTATTCTTACATTCAGGTATCATTTTTTCCAAAATCGAGTTGTAAATGCGTGGAACAGCTTACCATCTGAAATAATAGAAGCTACTTCAATAAATAACTTTAAAAACAAACTAGACAGAGCTGGATTTTGCAGAAACTATTTGTTAAAACACAAACAAAAGACAAAATAAGCTGTTACAGTGCAATATCTTATGTTATTGCACTTCGCAACTGTTTAAAACAGTTGTTACAGTTATACCTTATTATTATTATTATTATTATTATTATATATATATATATATATATATATATATATATATATATATATATATATATATATATATATATATATATTTGATAGTATCAATATTAATAACTATTAGCAATGTTTAGAGCCTGTAACAAGGAAAAAAATTTTTGACCTACCCTAATATATATATATATATATATATATATATATATATATATATATATATATATATATATATATATATATATATATATATATATATATATATATACATAATATATATATATATATATATATATATATATATATATATATATATATATATATATATAAATATATATATATATATATATATATATATATATATATATATATATATATATATATATATATATATATATATATATATATATATATATATATATATATATAATTGATTTTTGTACAAGATTAAATAAAAATAGCTACATAACTTTTACTACTAAAAGTTTCATCAGTCTAGCAATCATCAGGTAAAATATACATAGTTTTTTTTGTTAAAAAATACTCGTAATAAACATCATGACGTTTAAAAGCAATTACTATTTGCGAGCGCGGTTTGGTTTTTTAACCTTCGGATTCCTGGTTGTCAAGCAAGAACTTGTTTTTGTGACGGCACTTAGATATTATTTCTGTTTTTCTATATAATAATTCTTGCATACCTTCCTAGCTAGCACACTTACATTGGGCCAACGTATGTAAAACCATCGCAAACGTCGGCTCTTTTATCCAATACAAACCAACGTTGATCCGATGTCATTTGGTTATTCATAAAACTTTTACCAACGGAACTAAAAACATCTGGCATATTTACATTGGTCCAAAGTATGTAAAAATATCGCAAATTGTTGATTGTTTTTACAATCTAAACCCAATGTTGATCCAATGTATATATCTCAACATTAATTCAATGTATATAAATCAATGTTTAGTATATCCCACTCAAGGACCTTTCTATATTTAACGTCCCAAGCGAGGATGGGGGAAAACCATTAGTTATGAAAAAGGTAAAATTGACAATGCATATTAATAAAGTTAGAAACGTTTGATCATCAAAAAAAAAAAACCATGTTTGTGTTGATTATGGTTTGATGTTTTAATAATCACGCAAGATTTTATTTAAGTTATATAATTTTGCAATAGCACTGTTTGGTCACATACATTGGACCAACGTTGGGTTTAGTTCGTAAAAACAATCAACTTTTTGCGATCTATTTACATACATTTAAAGAAAATAGAATTTAATAAAAATATTATTCCGAATAATATTGAATACAGCGTTTTGCCAATTGAAGTTCAACGTTGAATCAATGTAAATACATCGTTGTAGCAACTTAAAATACAACGTTAAAACAACGTAAAATACAACGTTGTGCCAACGTATAAAATAAAACCTTGTATCAACGTAAAAATATAACCATTTTCCGACTTTAAAAAAACGTTTTATCAACATTGGTTTTTAGTTGTTAGCGACGTCGCATTTTTAAACATAATGATATAAAAACAACGTTGGCAGCCGATGTTGGGCCAACGAAACGCGCGACATTGTTCTAATATTTTAACAATGTATGTGTGCTAGCTGGGTTAGTATGATATTATGCAAAGTTTTTCATGAAGGAAAAGCAAGCATTTTTTTTTTTTTACGTTGTTGTAGAAAGGGGTTGTTTAATTGTTGACCTGGTTAGTTTGAGTATTATTTTTAAGTTTTCTTTAATGTGCCATAAATACTTTGAAAGGGTGGTTGATTTTTTCATCTTTTTTGAATGATTATTTGTGGTTAGCCCATTCTTATATTCACCATCTGCTATACCAATATATTTTTTCTGAAGGGGGATACTATACATTTATAAATAACATTAAAGGCTCTACATTTTCCTTTAATAGAACAGTTTTCTTTATTTTTGCAATCGCAGGGAGGGCCACCCTGTAATTCTATAAATAAAGAAAACTGTCTTATAATTTTATTTAAATTTATATAAGAAAAGAAAACTGCCCTACTACTCTGCAATATATATTTATTTATTAATTATACTTTAGAGTACTATGCACGAGGTATATACTGGGATGATACTAGCTCAAAAATATATCTCTGTATGAATCAATATGTTGCTACGTAAGTAAAATGTTTTATTCTGCTAATTTATTTTTTAATTGGTAGAGCCTCTGGCTGTAAATAAACATATTATTAAAATATATATTGACATTTGAATAACATATATGTTATAATGTTTGGCGATATATTTAAAATTAACATAATATGAAATATTTTTTGAATTTTTACATTTAAAAAGATGTTTCTAGTGTAAACATTACCCACTAACTGTCTTTAAAGTCACATTTTAAAGTTTCCTTAATAATTTTACGAAGTTATGCTATTATCATTAGCATATTTGATTAATGCTTGAATTTGTATTTGAATCAGTATAGGTTGTTCGCTATTTCTTTAAACATTATATATATATATATATATATATATATATATATATATATATATATATATATATATTACACAAAGATGAAACTTTTTACATAACTCTGATGGAAGGTTACTCATCAGCAGGACGTAAACAAAAACATCCGCATTTGCACGCTTGGTTTACGTCCTGCTGATGAGAATGCAACTACAAAATTACGTAGGACTTTATTGTAACTTTACCAAAAAGCAAGCCATACAAGATAAAACAGTAACTAAAATAGTGGTAGGTTTCTCAAAATATGCATATAAAAACGTTCATAAACATATTTTTATAAATATAAGATTTTGCTCGCAATTTTATCAGTCTCTTAACAATCCGAGGCATCCTCATGAACATAAATCTAAAAAACTCTCCAAGGAGTATGTTTTAATATTATTATTGGCTCTACGTTACAGCTATATATATTTTTCATATTTATTATTGTAAACTTAGTGTTTTTAAATCCAAAAAAACTTGGTATTTTTAAATCTAAGTACCTTTAATTAGACAAGTCTCAGGAAAATTTACATGCTTTTCAGTTCTTTTTACATGTAAGTTAGTTTTTTCAACGTTAAGAGATGTTTATGACTTTTAATTATGAAGTGAAAACTGGTCAAGAGATGTTTATGACTTTTAGTTATGAAGTGAAATTTCAATGTCAAGAGATGTTTATTACTTTTAATTATGAAGTGAAAACCGGTAAAGCTAACCCACACAACTTCTTTTCATTGACTGCCAGTTTGATTTAATGTCGGAATTTAAACTCTACATATTCTGCACAAGCTCAAATACCATCTGTGAAAAATTGATTATTACAATATATTCTTTTCATATCCTATATTCGTAAAACATTTGTTTTTAATTCACGCATATATATATATATATATATATATATATATATATATATATATATATATATATATATATATATATATATATATATATATATATATATATATACATATATATATATACACACACATTATTTATTATAAATATTATATAAAAAATTGAAAATATAAATGTTATACACATTTTTTATTTAATTATCTTTAAAAATTATTTTTTTGTTTTTTAAATAATTATTTTTTCATAAAAAAAAAAAAAATATTTTTATAAAAAATAACTGTTTTTTTATGAAATAAAATTTTTTTTTATAAAAAATAAAAATTTTTATAAAAAACAAAAAACTTTTTTTTTAAAAATATTTTTTTTTTTTTTTTAAATTAATAGTTTTTTTTTTTGTTTTTTTTTTTTTGTTTTTTTTCAGTTTACAATTATTAATCGTAATATAACAATATAACAATATATAACTTGGTATCTGAAAGAAGATCCAAATGATCTTGTCGCCAGAACCATATAAAAGATATAATACGTGTATATATAATAAAATAAAATACAATTGATCAAATAACTAATAACAATGTAGAAGAAACAAAACCTGAAAATAATTTTACAAATTATCCAGAGTAAAAAAAAAAGAATTTTACATTTCAAAAATATTTATATATATTGCCAGTAGAAAGAATATAGTTTTTTAATTTAGTTTTAAAAACGGAAAACGAAATTGACAAATCAAAATTTGGAACAACAATTTTGTTCCATAAATACGGTGCTCTATAGTTTATGCAAAATTGATTAAACTTTGTTTGACGTAAGGGCTCAATTAATAAATTATTATTTCGTAAAGCATATTTGTTTATAGCCTTATAAGTAAAAAGATCTTTGAAATTGGACAATGGTCGTTCACTTTTACAACGAAACATAAAACATAAAATATTATAGACATTGAGTTCGTAAACGTTAAGTGCTTTAACGTTTTTAAAAAAAGTATTTGAATGAGAAAAACGATTTTCGAAACATATTAAACGCATTGCGTGTTTCTGACGATGGTAAAGACTTCGTAACTTACTTTTAGAGGTACTTCCCCAAACAATATTTGCATAACTTATATAGCTATGAATAAACGAGTAGTAGAGTTGAATTATATTTTCTTTACTTAGATAGTATCTGACCTTATATAGAATTCCAATACTTTTAGCCAATTTAGTAGAAATATAGTCGATATGATACTTCCATGTAATATTTTCATCAATGTAAATGCCTAAAAATCTTGTGAACGACTCCTTTTTTATTTCAATTTTATCAATAAAAAGTTTAGGCAATTTATTTGGTAAAAAACGCTTTTTAGCAAGAGAGTGGAAAAGGATCCACTTTGTTTTGTCAATGTTTAAAGTTAACTTGTTGCACTTAAACCAGTTGGAGATCTGATTGAGTTCATTATTCATATTTGAAAAAAGCTCATAAATGCTACTGTTTGACAGAAATAAATTAGTATCGTCCGCAAAATTTATACTCATAAGGTTAGAAGCTATATTTAAATCATTTATATAAACTAAAAACAAAAGTGGGCCTAGAATAGAACCCTGTGGAACACCACATTTTATGTCAATTAATTTTTCATTTTGAAAATAATCTCCATAGAAAACAAATTGTTTTCTATTTTCCAAGTAACTTTGATACCATTTTATTAATTTGCCATTAATTCCGTAAAATTTGAGTTTTTTAAGTAGAATTTTGTGATCGACCGTGTCGAATGCTTTTGATAGGTCAATGAAAATACCTAATTTATATTGTGATCTACCAAATGAATCGGAGATTTCACGAATGAACTGTGTAATGGCTTGTTCAGTTAAACAATTTTTTTTAAAACCGAATTGATTTTTATATAGAAGTTTATTTAGATTAAGGTAATTGTATGTTCTATTGTATATAATTCTTTCTAAAATTTTTGAGAAAGTTGAAAGAACTGAGATAGGGCGATAATTACTAATATTTGATTTTTTTCCGTTTTTGTATATAGGAGTTACTTTAGCTATTTTTAATTGGTCGGGGAATACACCTTGCTGTATAGATGCCCTAAAGACTTTATAAAGAATACACTTTTTATAAAAAGATATAATTTTTTTATAAAAAAATAAATGACTTTTTATTTAAAAACAAAAAAAAAATTATTATCAAAATGTTAATTCTTTTTTATTAAAAAAAATTCTTTATATAAAAAAAATTTATTCTTGTTAATAAAAAGTTATAATTTTTCTATAAAAAATATTAAATTTTTTTTACACAAAAAAAAATCTTTTTTTAAAAAAAAAAATAATAATTTTTTTATAAAAAATAAATGATTTTTCATTAAAAAACAATAACTGTTTTATTTTTGGTCTTGTTTAATTTTAAGCAAGAGAGCCGTTTTAATAGTTTGTCACAAGGTGGAACTTGAAAATTTGAAAAGGTTTACGTAATTGCTTTGGTGCTTAAACGCTTTTCGAAACTATCAGCAAATTCTTTAGTGATTGATTTCTTGTCCTTTTTATTATTTATAGTAAATTTTAGTTTTTATAGTTTTAAATTTATATCAGACTTTATGTATCTGAAGATATTCCAAAAGATTTTTGGGTTGGTATTTTTTAGCTTCTCGATTTTTGTGTATTGCTTGAAAAGGTTATAATTTCAAGTTTTTGATAACGTTGCAGATTGCACGTACCATTCGATATCGATTAAAAATAGGTGAGCTTAAATCTTTTTCGAAACCCAACTCACGCCATTTCTTAAAATGAAATGTTATAACTTTTTGCTCCTGTCTAACTCAGGATTTTGAATATAACCACCATGATTTTGAATAAAACTACCAAGACTTTGAATATAACCACCAAGATTTTGAATATAAAGATTGCCTATTCAAAAGAAAGTGTTGGCCATGAGCCTCAAATGCACATTCTGTTGTAAAAGAATAGATTTCATTAAGCTCCTCGTTGTAGTTTCTATTTGTAAAGTGAAATCTTTTAAAATTGTTATTTAAACACTCATTATATAATTATATAAAACTTTGATTATTCGAGTCATAATTAGGAATACTATTATTGTCTATAAATTTGTTAACATTTTCTCGGAGAGATTGGCCACTGAGTCCAATTACAATTGGTACTGGCAAATGATTACTCGTTTTTTAAGATGTAAAAGGGACTACAATACTATTCATTCTGAAGAGGAGTATTCCTTGAGAGAGCTGTGTAATAAATATAAGATGCGTTTGGTAATGTTTGGTGTTGGTACGTTATTTAAAAGCCAGAACCTTTAAATACGTCTACTAGTTTGATTTTTCAAATAAATCATATATTCCGTCGGGAAACGATTAAAAATTACCAAGTACAATTACTTCGCAAACATTTTTGTAATTATTATTAAGGATTTTAATTGTATCTAATTGGTTTGTGTATTCATCCAAAGATATTTAATTATTTTGATAAATACCAATAATGATAATATTAGTATTACTTTTAAATAAAACTTATTAAAAGAATATGATCATCTAGGGAGAGTATAAAGACATTTTGAAACCATTTACATTAATGTGCTGTTTGAATCCATTTTTATTTATAGAAAGCTTCCTGGTTTCCATTGGTTTTGAGATTTTGGGCAATGTAGTAATGTAATGTACTAGCGTTTTTTTCGAAACGGCTATTGTTTTCGAAACGGCTATTGTTTTGTTATCTTATAGAGCAGGATTAAATATTTTTTTGTCGGAGCTGTTTATTGAAACCTTGTAAGATCTGTTTTACTGATTTTCTTTGTTTAAATTAGCTGGTATGGCTGTGAC